CCCATTACAAAAGTGAACAAAAACCAACCAAAATCGGAACGGAATAACAGAGCTGGAAGGATCTTGGAGGTCTTCTAGTCCAACCCTCTGCTCAAGCAGGAGACCCCCATACCTTTTCAGACAAGTGGTCATTCAATCTCTTTTTAAACGCCTCCAGTGATGGAGCTTCTGAAGGCAAACTGTTCCACTGGTTAATTGTTCTCACTGTTAGGAAATTTCTCCTTAGTTCTAGGTTGCTTCTCTCCTTGACTAGTTTCCATCCCTTGTTTCTTGTCCTGCCTTCAGGTGCTTTGGAAAATCGTTGACCTCCTCTTCTTTGTGGCAGCCTTTCAAATATTGGAACACTTCCATCATGTCATCCTTATTCTTTCTTTTCACAGAATGCCTTGGTGGCTTAGCAGACTAAAGCACTGTTAAGTAACACCAGCTGCCTGCAATTACTGCAAGTTCAAATCTCACCAGGCTCAAGGCTGACTCAGCCTTCCATCCTTTCGAGGTAGGTAAAATGAGGACCCAATTTGTGGGGGCAATAAGCTGACTTTGTATAAAAAAGAACACCGCTGGGGGGGGGGCAAAAGCCCTACTAAGCAGGTATATACAAAAGTATGAAGGCTATTGCTTAACGCATTGTAAGCCGCCCTGAGTCTCCGGAAAAAGGGCCGCATATAAATCAAACCAATAAATAAATAAATAAATAAATAAATAAATAAGAATGCTCCACTGTAATTCCACCTCAGAATTTAGCTCCCATCAAGGCAGCTATGAACTAAATTAAAGTTAAAGATTTCATTCCATTTTACAAATGTCAGTATCACTTTTTCACTTTTTTTTTTTTCAAATCAAATATCTTTATTATGGTCATGATGTAGGGACATGGTGCTGCACAATACGAGGATGAAATTTATTGACTATTCATCAGCTGAAATTTCAAGTTTAAATTTCCATACTGTAAATTTAAACTTGAAATTTCAGTTGATGAATAAGTACTAAAACCCACCAAATGCTTAATCTAAACTGCAAGGCTATATACCGTGTTTCCCTGAAAATACAACCTACTCCGAAAGTAAGTCCTAGCTTGATTTTTACATGTGCACCCAATATAAGCCCTACCCCCAAAATAAGCCCTATTTAAGACCCCCTCCCAGTCCAGACTGCACGGGTAGACATTAAGCTAGTGTGGGATGAGGGTGGAGCTGTCCAACTACTTACCTTCGGATAGTTGCAGCCAGGCCTCGCACATCTGGGCCTGTTTCTTCTGCAGCCGGCAAGGCTTTCCTGAAGGCCTCTGTAGCCTTCAGGATCGCTCTGGAGCTCTGTTATCAGCTAGAGAGGCCTTCAGGAAAACCTTGCTGGCCTTGCCGGATGAAGAAGTTCCTGAAGGCCTCTGATAGTGAAAAAGAGGCCGGGGCGATGCACACAAGTGAGGTGAGTCAGTTTGACAACACCAACCACCCCCGAAAATAAGACCTGGTGCCTTTTTTGGTGGCAAAAAATAAATAAATAAGCCAGGGTCTTATTTTTGGGGCAACACGGGTAATAGTAATGCAATATTATAATGCTCTAGTTGCTTAGTTTGAGCAAAGTTAATCACATGAATATTTACTGAATCAAAAACTCCTTGGAATAACAAGAGTTCTGAAGAAAAAGTATACAACACTCCAATGTCCAGCTGATGTTTGCATCTAGCCAACCTTGGTTGATACTGGAAGCTAAGCAAGAGTAGAGTTGATCAGTTAATACTTGGATGGGAGACCACCAGAAAATTCCCAAATTCCCTGTAATGAACCAAAAAAATTGTGGGCAGCCCCTTGCACATCTTTATCAGAAAACTACATGGATATGTGCATCATGTTAAATAAGGCCAACTTGAAAGAAATGTTATCTTTTGTAGATGACAATCCAATGCAGATTATTATTCATGTTTCCTGCCTTCTCTCAATTCAACCTCAAATCAGGAGGCTGCCACTTAATTAGTAAACCAGGAAAAGATGTCATAAATATGTCTTCTTCTAAGACACTGCTTTTTGTCTACTTTCTGTAAGTGCTTATGTTAAAACAAAAATGAACAGTTTTAAAAATCAGGTTAAAAATCTGACCTGTGGCTTTTTTAAAAAAAATAAATTAATGTGATAAATGACTCAACAGATACAAATAGAAGTCAATAGAAGGTTTTCTAAGAATTAAGCCATCCGAAGATGTGTAGTAGGAGTTGAAACTGGAACAAAGAGAGAAGCAATTTAGAACTAAGGAGAAATTTGGTGAAAGGAGCCTGGTGGCGTAGCTGATTAAGCATTCCTACAGTGCACCAGCTGTCTGCAATTACTGCAAGTTCAAATCCCACCAGGCTCAAGGTTGACTCAGCCTTCCATCCTTTCTAAGGTAGGTAAAATGAGGACCCGGTTTGTGGGGGCAATAAGTTGACTTTGTATAAATATACAAAAGTATGAAGGCTATTGCTTAACGCATTGTAAGCCGCCCTGAGTCTCCGGAGAAGGGCGGCATATAAATAAAAAAATAAAAAAATAAAATAAAACCGTAAGAACAAACAACCAGTGGAACAGCTTGCCTCCAGAAGTTGACTGGAGTCTTTTAAGAAGAGAATGGACAGGCACTTGTCTGTATAGGGCAGTGGTGGCAAACCTTTTACTCACCGAGTGCCGAACAAGTATGTGCTTTGCGCACTTCGTGCATGTGCGTGCCATCTGGGCTAATGCATGGCTCCTCCCCATGCAACCACACAATCTGCGCATGCACACAGCTTTCATGTGTGACCCCACCATGCGCTGTGTGTGCAATTGCACCATCTGCACATGTGCGCAGCTTTTGTGTGGCTCCCCGTGTGCTGCACATACAATCACACCATCTGCACATGTGCATGGTTTTCGCCATCTGCGCGCGCATGCTCTGGGCACCAGTACTTTTGCGCACATGCGCAAATGGGCGCGCATGCACAGGAGAGCTCCAAAGACCAGCTTGGTCCCCTGAATTGCATGCATGTGCACCAAAGGCCCGAACACCAGCTGGGGCGCGCGTGCATGCACAGCTGCAGATAAGTTGGGCTCATGCAGAACCTATGGCTCTGCGTGCCACTTCTGGCACGCATGCCATAGGTTCGCCATCACGAGTATAGGGTCTCCTGCTTGAGCAGGGGACTGGCTTAGAAGACCTCCAAGGTCCTTTCCAACTCTGTTAATCTTTTATTCTGAAAGAGGCAACTGTAGTCTCTAACTAACAGGATCCAAATTAATGTATTTCCCATGCACGCACAACTCAAAGGACAGAGCGAGGAGCCTGCAAGATGTTTACTGTGCATCTTTACTAACAAGTGTAAGCTGGCAGGGAGATGAGTGAAAGGTACCCACTAGGCATTTCCACTAATCTCTTTGATCAAAGAGATATAATGGGAGACAATCTTTCTAATTGCTTTCAGGAGTTTCAGGCTGAGTACGTTATGTGGCTTTTAGCTGTCCATCAAAGAAAAGCACTTGGAAGTGAATTTTTAGAGGAAGAAGGAAGGAAATCGTTTAGAAAGTCTTATCATCTTTTGATGGTTTCATGTTAAAGGATGTCACAGTAGGAGGAAAAATGTTAATTGTGGAGGGATGGGGCTCTGGACTGTGATTTAAAGCAGACCCAAACCTCCATTTCCGCACTTATTTTAAACTCTATCCTTTTGCTTTTCTTGACTTACAACCATTCGTTTAGTCACCGTTTGAACTGACAATGGCATTGGAAAAAAGTGAGTTATTGTTTTTCACACTTACGACCGCTCCCCATAGTTATGTGATCAAAATTTAGACGCTTGGCATATTTATGACGGTTTCAGCGTCCCAGGGTCATGTGATCACCTCTTGACAAGCAAAGTCAATGGGGAAGTCAGATTCATTCAACAACTGTGTTACTAATTTAACAACTGCAGTGAGTCACTTCACAACTGTATAGCAAGAAAGATTGTTGTTGTTGTTAGCCGTGAAGTTGTGTCTGACCCATCGTGACCCCATGGACAACGTTCCTCGAGACCTTCCTGCCCTCTACCATCGCTTGGAGACCATTTAAGCTCATGCCAACTGTTTCAGTGACTCCATCCAGCCACCTCATTCTCTGCCGTCCTTTTCTTCTTTTGCCCTCAATTAAGCTCTTCTCCAGTGAGTCCTTCCTTCTCATTAGGTGGCCAAAGTATTTGAGTTTCCTCTTCAGGATCTGGCCTTCTAAAGAGGAGTCAGGGTTGTTCTCCTCTAGGACTCACCGGTTTGATCGCCTTGCAGTCCAAGGGACTCACAGGAGTCTTCTCCAGCACCAGAGTTCAAAGACCTCAGCCTTCCTTATGGTCCAACATTCACAGCCATATATTGCAACTGGGAAAACCATAGCCTTGACTATACACACTTTTGTTGGCAGGGTGATGTCTCTGCTTTTTAGAATGCTCTCTAGATTTGCCATAGCTTTCCTCCCCAGGAGCAAGTGTCTTTTAATTTATTGGCTGCAGTCACCATCTGCGGTGATCTTGGAACCCAGGAAAATAAAATCTGTCACTACCTCCATTTCTTCCCCATCTATTTGCCAGGAATTGAGAGGGCCATGATCTTAGTTTTTGTAGAAAGATCTTTTTTTTTTTTAAATTTGATTTATATGCCGCCCTTCTCCGAAGACTCAGGGCGGCTTACAATGTGCTCAGCAATAGCCTTCATCCTTTTGTATATTTATACAAAGTCAGCTTATTGCCCCCACAAACTGGGTCCTCATTTCACCTACCTTAGAAAGGATGGAAGGCTGAGTCAACCATGGAAGGCTGAGTCATTGATGAAATGGAGCAAAATTCACTTGACAACTGTCTCATTTAGCAACAGAAATGTTGGGCTCAGTTGTGGTTGTGATTTGAGAACAACATGTAATGTAGTGTACCGGATAGCTACACACAATTTTACAAACTTTCAGGGAGTTCCCCTATCCCCAAAATATTGGTAAATAGTGGATCTGGGTCAGGGGTGGGTTCTACTTACCTTTTCTACCAGTTCGCATCGCGCCCGTGCTCTTCTGTGCATGCGCAGATCACCTACAATGACATCCGGGTCAGTGGGCGGAGCCTCCTGCCAGTTTTACTACCACTTCTTGAGAACCAGTCCGAACCGGGGGCAACCCACCACTGATCTGGGGAGATAAATGGTATGGAAGTTGCTTAAGAGTCGGGCTGCAAACTCTCTGCTTGTGTCAATGGCCTGTATGGCACACAAATCTGTTTTTCTTAACTCTGCAGTTTCATCTTCTCAGTCCCTGAAATAGTAATTCTGTTACCAGCTGGGTAAATCTATAGAATATAATATTCATTTTAAATAGGGCCTCATTTATTTCACACTTGAGACATCAGCAACTGTCTCCTCCTATCTTGCAGGCTTTTCTTAGCGGGGGAAAAAATAAATGGAAAATTCAGGGTGCACAGATGAAACTGCTGGATGCTAAGTGGGAAGATCTTAGTTTAAAAACAAAGAGGCTGCCTTCCTGCTGTGTGCCTCTCAGCTACGAACCACTGATATGATGACCTGAGAAGTGAATGGAGTTTTATACAAATCCTACAAATGTTGTTACTTTTTCTCTTCTTAGGTGGATTCTGTTTATCTGCTACCCACCCACTCCTCAAAACTTGGAAAGCAGTTACCACAAATGTAATTTATTTCATTCCATAAATAAATATAGAATGTAAATATTAAAAAAAACCTATAAAGACAAAGCCTAACTCCTCTACACGAGTTCAAATTACCAGGATCAGATGGATTACATCCCAGAGTTGTGAAAGAGATGGGGGGGAGAGAGGGAGGGAGAGAGAGAGATGAGAGATGAGAGATGAGAGATGAGAGAGAGAGAGAGAGAGAGAGAGAGAGAGAGAGAGAGAGAGAGAGAACTAGAGAGAGAGATGATAGATAGATGATAGATAGATAGATAGATAGATAGATAGATAGATAGATAGATAGATAGATAGATAGATAGATAGATAGATAGATGGGGAGGGGCAGGCAGGCAGGCAAGCAGACAGACCAAACTTAAAAAGATATCAGATTGGGACCAGCCATACAGTAGACTGGAGATCATACAACAGCACAGATCACATGTGTTGGAGAAGGCCCTTCTTTATGTCATCCAACAGAAGCAATGTGGAAGCCCAGTGGAGGATTTTCAAATGAAGAGACTCCAGGGCACGATTTGGTAACATGGGAAATTAGCTCCTGCTCGGCGAGCATGCAGATTTCAGTAAGATCAGACTTGTAAACTGCAAGTATGAAAGGATCACACGCCCTGTTTCCTACAACTCCTCGCATCCTATTGCTTCACTCACCTCTGTACCTGCTGTGGGGCATATCCTATTTGCTTCATCAGGGCGGGCAAAGGAGGAGATGAGATGGAGATACACATGAAATCTTGGCCTCTCTCTCCTCTCCTGTTAGTAATCTTTTGCGAAAGCAACTTGTAATCTGCAGATTACTCCTGTAGCGTATGATCTCTGCTCCTCCTTCCTCTTCATTGTACGTGAAGGATTGAAGGAACACACACTGTGGAATCATCGTTTCAATAGGTATGGAGGCTGGTGGACTTATGTGGAATTTGGGGAACAGGTCATTGATCTTCTCACAGTATGGGATGGCTGCCATGAGAAGGAGCTTAACAGTTCATAAAACTGGCTGCCTTCAGTGGCAGGGACACTTACAAAATGCTCATTTCCTTCCAGACAAATTGATGACATCAATGATCACCACAGATGATCATCACACACCTTATCTTTTTCTTCTTTCTTTCAGAGCCGTTTCTGCACAAACAAAATGATGGGTTATCGTCTAGTTTTCATTCACCTGGAATAATTTCATCTGGAGTCTAGAAATACTGATGTACCCTGCATAAACAAGATGTATTGCTTCCTGGCGTATTAGCATCCTCCTAAGAGATGTTTCACTCAACGCCCTTCCATTTTAAAGATATAAAATGTGATCTATTCCAAAACGCTACTCCAGGTTTACTTAAGAACTTAAATGACTCAAATACACAGAGGTTTGCTTGTTTTTTGTTTGTTTTTTTCATAACCAGTCTACTATACATGGCAAATTTAAAGCCAGCTAAGATCATTTTAAGGGATGTGGTGGCTCAGTGGCTAAGATGCTGAGCTTGTCAATCGAAAGGTCGGCAGTTTAGCGGTTTGAATCCCTAGTGCCGCGTAACGGGATGAGCTCCCGTTACTTGTCCCAGCTTCTGCCAACCTAGCAGTTCGAAAGCACGTAAAAAATGCAAGTAGAAAAATAGGGACCACCTTGGGTGGGAAGGTAACAGTGTTCCATGCGCCTTTGGCATTTAGTCATGCTGGCCACATGACCACAGAGACATCTTCGGACAGCGCTGGCTCTTCGGCTTTGAAGCGGAGATGAGCACTGTCCCCTAAAGTCAGGAACAACTAGCACATATATGCGAGGGGAATCTTTACCTTTACCTTAAGCTCATGGATTTATTATTGTTGTTTAGGAAATCTTTAGATTCTAGCTACAGATCAGACCACCTGGTTAACATCCGGTATCATTAAGGACAACCAGAAGTCACGTAATATTCTAAAAATTATTCTCTCATGCTCTGATATTTGTTTCAGTTCTCTTAAACTCAACTCCAAGAGTCTCTGTTGCGATGGATTGGATGACATCTGAACATACTTACTTATAAATGTCTAGGGAGATTCTCAGTCATCCAGGTTGTAGTTGTCCCAAAGGTGCTTTTTCAAGAGGCAACGGGACTTTCTGGTTTTTCTTTGAAGACGTTTCTTCAGCTCTGAAGAAGCTTCTTGGATGAGAAGTAAAAAATGTCTTCAAAGAAAAACCAGAAAGTCCACTTGCCTCTTGAAAAAGCACCTTTGGGATACTACTTATAACTTTTTGGTTAGCTACTGTATACCCTGTAGGATTTGTTTCATAATGTACTTTAGACTTGGGGTCTCCAACCATGGCAACTTTATGACTTGTGGACTTCAACTCCCAGAATTTCTCAGCCAGCACATGATGGCTGAGGAATTCTGGGAGTTGAAGTTCACAAGTCGTAAAGTTGCCAAGGTTGGAGACCCCTGCTTTAGACAGTCGTTCTGTGTGAATTCTTCTAGATTAGGACTTGAGTTATACATACAGGCAGTCCTCAATTTACAACAGTTCATTTAAGGACTGTTCCAAGCTACAACAGCACTGAAAAAAAATGACCGATGACGGTTTAATGCAGCATCCCCATGGTCATATGATCAAAATTCAGACACTTGGCAACCAACTCATAGTTATCTCCTTTGGTAACCTTCTGACAAGCAAAGTCAATGGGGGAAGCCACGTGGTCACTAAATGAACTGTTGTATGTTGAGGACTGCCTTCAGAGGTGGGATTCACTTACAGTACCTTCCCTATCAGTTCGCAAATGTGAGCACGCACACCATCTCCATTCATTCTCGGCCTTCCGGGCATTCTCTTTGCTCGCACGCGCACTCCCGCACATGTGCACGGCCTCCGAAACGTGGCTAAATAGGACGGCATTATGTCTGGGTGGGTGGGCGGGGCCTACCACAGTTGGCGCTACCAGTTCGCCCAAACCAGACAGAACCGGCTGAATCCCACCACTGGCTACCTGTATATAAGAGTAAAGATATGCTTCATTAAGAGTCCTATTATTTTTTTCTGAATTTTTTTTTCAAACTGTTGAATCAGGAAAAAAGTCTACTTTTGGGGGGGGGAAGAGAAATAGAAAATTATTGTCATTTATCTTATTAACATTTATATGATTAATAACATGATAATCTTAGAGATTTATGCAGGCTTTTATTTGGAGAAACAGATGCTGAAAGATGTTTCAATACGCTAAAAGCTTATCTACGAATATATGAGTTTTATTATGCAGAAGGAACAGTTAAGGCATCTGGCTATTTTGCAACCGTGTGTGAATGTGCTAGAAGGATTTGTTTTTGCGGAACTAGTTTGTGATTTTGCAATTTTAAAAAAGTAGAATTAAGATGACAGGGTCAATTTATCGCCATTTGTAACCACACTGGCAATTTGAACTGGAAGAGAAAAAAACCAATATTGTTCCATTTTTATGAGTTCAGACAAAAATTTAAAAACTACCAAAAATTGTATACCATACTTTTCTTCAGAGTAGATATTCAAGAAAAATAAAAGTAAGGCATAGCTATTTGGAGACATGGTAGATAAAAGTTCCAGTTTGAATTTTAGTGTAATTTCTAAAATATAGAAACGGTTACATTTAATTGTGTGTTTTTTTCTCCCTATGATTCAAGAAATCAGAAATATGAAATAAGATCATGGAAACATGTATTAGCTATTAGAATTAATCATCCAAAATGCCAAAAGTCAAAAATAACAATGTACAGTATATTTGAGTTGTTTACTAGATTGCCAGTGTCTATTTACTGTACTTATTATATGCAGGTTATTAAAGAGCCTTGATGGTACAGTGGTCTAAGCACCCTGTTATTAACACAGCTGCCTGCAATTACTGCTGGTTCGAATCTCTCCAAGGCTCAAGGTTGACTCAGCCTTCCATCCTTTCTAAGGTAGGTGAAATGAGGACCCGGTTTGTGGGGGCAATAAGCTGACTTTGTATAAAATATACAAAAGGATGAAGGCTATTGCTTAACACATTGTAAGCCACCCTGAGTCTCCGGAGAAGGGCGGCATATAAATCAAATTTTAAAAAAAAATTATGAAGTTTGGACACTTTTAATATTTAAAATATTAAGTAGGTTTTAATATGAGCAGTATGGTGACCTAATGGTAAAGATGCTCACCTCCCACTCAGAAGGTTGAGAGTTCAATCCTAAACAGCACCAAATGTTCCTCTATCAGGCACAAAGAAAAAAAAAACATCTGCTGTGAACTCCACATAGGCATCAGGAAGGGCATCTGGCCTGTAAACTCTCAGCTCCATCCAGTTGCCTTCACTTTACCCCAAATTAAGAGCGGTAAATTTACAGGGTTGTAAAAAGGGATTTTTTAAAAAAAATAGGTTTTAATATATTATTAACTCGGACTTTTAAGATGGCTGTCTTTCCCACAAGACAAGGAGCCTATCTTTGAATTAGCCATTTCTGTGCTATAAAGAAATTAAGCACATTTCCCAAACCCGAATGTAAAAATGGGCATCTCTGAATGTAACTACAGCATCAAATGTTAATATTTCAGTATGAAAAGCTTCAAAATGAAAAGTTTGTTTTGGTTAAATCATCCATCCAGAGCAGCATGCTCTGGATGGATGCTTTGGATGGATGATTTGCTACCAGATGATTTGCTATCGGTTCGCTGGTGCGTGCATGTGCAGAAGCTTATGCACATGCGCAGAGCGTGTTTGATGATGTCCGGGTGAGCGGGTGGAGCCTCCCGCCACCACTACTACCTTCCCTACTACCCGAACTGGGGCGAACCGGTAGCAACCCACCACTGATCCAGAGTCACTCCAACAGCAAGATGAGCACCATATAAATTTAATGAATTAATGCATAAACAGCATTAATAAACAGCATAAACTGCTTCTATCATATGTTCCCATATTCAGCACAAGTATTGTTATGGGTTAGGCATATCACTTGATTAAATAAACCGCTGTCAAGAAATCAAACAAGTTTTACCCAGTTAATACTTACTGTGTTAAGTAATTAAATATGTATTCTGAAAGTGGAAAAATATATTTTATTCGTTTATAGTTCCTGCATATATATGTTACGTGGGTCAAGAATTAGTGTAGAAGAGGCATTCTTCTCTTGAATAAAAATGAATGGGAATGCCTCTTTTCAGGCTGCTTGCCAACCACATTTGAAAAAAGAAGAATTGCCAAATTAATCAGGTTGCTTTTTTTTTTAGATGATGAGTTAATATTTTAATTCAAGCCACTTGACTGTAGATTCCTCTTTGGGTATATCTGGAGTCAGCTGCAAAAGTCTGTGTTTTACTGATTAATAGAACAAAGTTTTCAAGGAGTCAAAAGTTTTATCGATTAATCGTTGTTACCATATAGCCAGTAGAGGGAGCACTAATGGTTTATTTCTTGCTGTTTTATTCTGAAAAGGTTCCAAAACAAAATTAGATAACCTCTGGTCATTTTTCTCCCTTTCGGGACTCCAGCATCCTAAACCAAGAGCCTTGGTACTACAGTGGTTTAAAGCACCCTGTTATTAACACAGCTGCCTGCAATTTACTGCTGGTTCGAATCTCTCCAAGGCTCAAGGTTGACTCAGCCTTCCATCCTTTCTAAGGTAGGTTAAATGAGGACCCAGTTTGTGGGGGCAATAAGCTGACTTTGTATAAATATACAAAAGGATGAAGGCTATTGCTTAATGCATTGTAAGCCGCCCTGAGTCTCCGGAGAAGGGCGGCATATAAATCAAATTAAAAATAAAAAATAAATAAAATAATTCCTGTGAGAAAATAACTTCCTTTCTCTACGCGTAACATAATAAAGTAAGGAAACTGGTTTTAAATTACTGTTAGTACATTGCAATCAAAAGTTTGAGATTTCTATCTTGCTTCTTTATTTACACTGTAAAGTTTGTGCATAACAGTTTATGTGCAACCTTCACAGTCCTCTGCATTACCTAAGCACAGAAAAGGTTGAAGAACTCCATGTTTTTAATGTCCGGCCTAGGTCTACAAACAGCATTAAAAACCAAAACCGATATTTTAAGTCTTAGT